GGGTCTTTTCTTAAACTGCTCGTGCCCTCTAACATTTTCTAAAATTAGACAGTAATTTCTTACATAAAAGAAATAACTAGGAAAAGGGAGATGAAAACAACTACAGAATGAAAAGAATAAAAAAAAAAGACAGTTTAGGCTGAATATGGGAAGAGAATCCCTAATAATAATCTGCCTCAGTCTCCCAGTGCACAAATCACATTGTCTGGCATATTTAAAACTTAAAACTGGGCAGAACTGTAATACATATATAGCACAACAGTGTGGTATAAGCAATTAGAAAAGCTACAAGTATGTTAACACTGATACTCTTCAGCTAGGAAAACTGCTAGTATAAATGCAATCCTTTAGGATCACATGGAGCGTCACCTCTAGATTCTGCAAACTTATCAGTAAGGTTGCATGTTCCAGAACTTTAAACGTGTGAAACAAGACAGTGTATACTTCGGTAGTTTTTCCTCTGCTTTTCATTTCTTTCTATTCAATCGTAGGCTTGATGCTGACCTCAGCAGATCCTTTAACAATACACCTGAATAATTTACAGGAGAGTTATACAAAGGGATTAGTGTTCAGGAAATGAGGAACAAGAAACAGGGACAGAGGGAAGTTTATGCGACTCTTAATAGCCTTGAAGGGGACAGCTGTTCAAAAAAGGGCACAAGCCATGCACTGCTCAAACAAAAGCCTGAATATTTGCTATACCTGAAATGTCTTTGGAATTCCTCCAACATTGTAGTGAACCACTAGACTCACTTTGTTGTCCTTCTCCACAATTTCAAAGCTCCCTTCTTTCCATTTTGTAATCCCAGTCTGCATGCTGCGCATCCGGACAGGTCCATGCACCTTTAGTGGAGCCATGCTTTCTCACAGAAAAGAACTAATAGGAGTAAGCGTACGTCACTTTAAAAAGCTGTGGAAAAGAAGAAGATTATAACTAGCTAGTAGCAAATAGTCTCTACAGAAAGATAAAAATAGGATTAAACATTTCTGTAGAACTTTGATAAAAGTAAGCTTTGCTGTTTCTTTAATCCACCTGAAGGAAACGCAGACCAATAAAAACTTTCCCAGTTCGGACAGTAACACACTGACTCCTAAACGCATAGAGGTGAGTGGACTCAACAAAGACACAGAAGTTCTTTCAAATCTTTAAACCGATTTCCACAGGTTTAAAAAAATTAAAAAAAAAAAAAAAGGCGCACCTATCTTCAGGAAGAAAGCGTAAAGTTGATAAAGGGGAAGAAAACAAAGTTTCAAAGGGACCCTACACCGGAATTACTTTGTTTCCGCTGTGACCGGAGACCAGAGAGGCTCTTCGGCGGGTCGGGTTACCTCAGGTACCACCGGCAGGTAGTTACCAGCGCGCCTGAAGCGCCGCCGTGCGCTCGGCCCCGCCCGCCCGGCT